TATATATATATATATATTACTGAATCAAGTATCATCTTCCTCACACACAGACAACACACCATTTTCTCTTTCTTCTCCATTCTTATGCTTCATCTTTTCCAAAACTCAAATAGATACAAATGATTAATATGAACATGAAGAACAACGAATCTCCTTGTTCCAAGTCACAGTCTCCACCAAAATCTGATCCATTGTGTGATTCTTCAAATCCATCTCACAAGAGGAAAGCAGGTAGAAAGAAGTTTAGGGAGACACGGCACCCTGTGTATAGGGGTGTACGCCAAAGAAACGGAAACAGATGGGTGTGTGAAATTAGGGAACCAGTGAAAAAGTCAAGGATCTGGGTAGGCACATACCCTTCTCCTGAAATGGCTGCTAGGGCACACGACGTGGCTGTTTTAGCCCTTAATGGCATCTCTGCTAAGTTCAATTTCCCCGATTCAGTTTCCCTTCTTCCTCTTGCAAAGTCTTCTTCTGCTGCAGATATAAGGGAAGCAGCAAAAACTGCTACTGTTGATGATACTTTCACGCCAAACACATCTTTTTCTTGTTCCTCTCATGGAAATTCTAGTTTTGAAGAAAATGGGAATGCAGAAGAGAGTTTTTTGAACACGAGCATCCACAATGATGAGTCTGAAACAGTGTTCTTTGATGAGGAGGCACTGTATAATATGCCAGGTTTGTTGGATAGTATGGCCGAGGGATTGCTAATTACTCCACCCTCTAGAGCACTGGACTGGGACCATTCTGATTCTGAAATAGACCTTACTCTGTGGAATAACTGATATCAATACTACCTATATTTTTGGTTTCTCATTCTCACAGATATTTTAAACACAGTGAGAATCTATGTGTGTGTGAGAGAGAGTTAAAAAAAGATCGTTGAATGATACTAATTCCTTCTGCTAGAATCTTTGGTTAATTACTGCATGTACTGTTGAACTGCTGCTATAATATCTCCCAACGATTTTTCAAACTCATCAGAAAGACCTATCCGTATGTCGTGGTTAAGTGCATGCACCTTTTTGAGAGGAATATGAAGTCAGAAAAGGTTTATATATGTAATTGGCAACGTCATTAGGGAGAAGAAATAAAAAGTGTGAAACTGCTATATCAGAAAAAACAAAATTAGGTTTCTTTCTATGTGCAAAATATGTTCCCTACACTTTGTACAGATTTATTCTATTTAAAAAAGAACATGATAGGTTGACTTCATTTTTCAAAATTTATATATATACATATGATATCATTTTATCTCATAATTTTATTTATATTATTATTATTATTATTATTATTATTATTATTATTATTATTATTA